AGTTGCTGGGAATTTATTTACTTTTGACTACTGTTAAAATAGATATTACCATCCTGATTTTCAGAATTGCAGGGAATGCAGTATGGCTTGGTTGGATGTAGAAATGTGAAGTTCTGACCAAGCCTATTCACCTTCCCTCATGAGGAGCTATGTGCACTTCCAGTTCCTTTCTTTACACTTTACATGTAATAGGTAAAAAAGTATAGGGGCTGGGGCTAGGGCTCAGTGATACAGCACTCGCCTCATTTCTAGTATTTTAGATATATAATATATTGGATGTATAATTTCTAATATATTAGATAGTTATTTTTTATTTTTTTGCTTTGGTACTGGGGATTGAACCCAGGGGGCACTTACCCCCTGAGCCACAACCCTAACCCTTTTTTGTATTTTGTTTATAGAGACAGGATCTCACTGAATTGCCTAAGGCCTCGCTAAATTGATGAGGTTGGCTTTGAGTATCCTCTTGTCTCAGCCTCACGAGCTGCTGGGATTATAGGCGGAAGCATGGCTGTATAATTAATTTTGACAAATAAAAAGATAATCAGAATTTTACTTTTTAAAAATTTTTTTCCCCCAGTTCTGGGGATTGAATCCAGGGATGCTCTGCTACTGAACTACATCCCTGGGCTTTTTGTTTTGTATTTTGAGACAGGGTCTTGCTGAGTTGCCCAGGCTGACCTCAGACTTGAGGTCCTCAATATCCTGAGTAGATGAGGTTGCAGCAGAGTGCTGTGGCACCCAGCTATACTTAGTGTCCAGCTTTCTTAATAGGTTTAGTTGTTAGCATTTGAGTGTATAAAATAAATAGATAAAAAAACCTTTCTAAATGCATTTTGAATTAAGAGCTGGTCTTTAGCAGCTCTTTAGCTGGTCTTTGTCCTTTGCAAGTGTGCAGTTTTTCACACGTAAACTTACCCTTTTTGCATATATTTTCTTATCCATAGGTAACTGCTGGTTTTAGTGGATATGGGGATGGGGTTGGGATGGGTGTAGGTGGTTATAGGGTGTTGAGAGCTATGAGCACCAGCAGATCCTGGCGGGATGTGATTTGTTCTTGTGTTCCTGTAGATCTGGAGCAGCAACCATTTATTTCCCAATACAGAGGAGGCTACTCTTTTCCTTGGAACGCTGGATACTATTTTTCTGTTCTCCTATGCTGTGGTAAGTTTTAGAATTCTGTAGGTTTTTTTGTGATGCTGGGGATCCAATCCAGTGCCTTATGCATGCAAGGCAGACCTCTACTACCTTCTCCACTGAGCCACACTACAACTCTTTTTTTCTGGGCCAGAGGTTGAACCTAAGTGCACTTAACCACTGAGCCACAAGCTCAGACTTTTATTTATTTATTTATTTTGTGTTGCTGGGGATTGAACCCATGGCCTTGTACATGTGAGATGAGCACTCTACCAGCTGAGCTATATTCCCAGCCCAAGCCTAGCCCTTTTTATTTTACAGGGTCTCACTAA